TAAATGTATACCTCTTTTTTAAAAATAATTATCAAACGTTACCAATTTACCACTAACATAGGTTTTATGATATCAATAGAAAACACAGATATATTAACAGCATTCCCACGACTTGGCTGGAATACAAGGACCCTGACCCCGTTCCTTTACAACTTCACTTGCTGTTACAGTGTAACAGCAAGGAATGAAATAGTGATAATCATACCAACATTTTTCTGCTATAACAAACATTGCCATCACAAAAGAGTATAAAAACATGATCTACAATGGTGGTGGTGCTGCTGCTGTCACCTAATTAAAGCATTGCTAAGGAAACCCAACCAAGCTTGCCAGGCAGTCAGGCTTCTGGCATTCACATTCAGCCTGTTTTTACCATGATCCAAATCACCAACTTTCAAACCGATCTCCTAGGATGTTTGGTGGATGGTGATCATTTCTAATTTTTGAATTGGTCCTATTTCAATGAACACAAAATCTAATTCAATACATTCTCTATCTTTAAAAAGATTAAATCGATGACTATTAGATAATACATAACTTATCATATATTATATATTATATGGCATTGATCCATCTTTCACAAAATTTTCTCTAACAAATTCATGTGCTAGACTTAGTGTTTTGTTGATATTTCTATTGTTAATATTTATAGCATACTTTGGATATATTGTGAATATGAATTTTTGATAGCCAAGGTTACTTTATATTATTCCTAGGATAACATTTTTTCTATCATTAATTCTATTATCTTGGTGTTTTTGTTTTCTTTTATTCTTATTAAATCTTTGTTTATTACTTCTTTTAATTCTAAATCTTTTGTTTCTCTACTTATAATTTGAATAACTATATCTTAATTTGATTGGACCACTATTTTTAGGACAACATAACTCCTTTTTAATTTATTATAGCTATAGATTTCTATACACCACTCATTTATTTTGGTTTTAGTGAACCAAATACTTAGTCCTAATGTATTGGTTTTATTTTCTACATAGGTTTTACAAACTTCTACTAGCTTTATTCCCCAAGGATTAGAGATTTTTCCAAAAAATTATTCTCTTAAACCTTTTTCCATTCCATGATTTGAGGTTTATAATAATATTTTTGGAATAAATAGATATATTGGTCTAGTTCACAAAGATTATATAATTCTAAATTCTACAGATTCCATACTTCTATTCTTCCAATTCTAACTTCTTCTTTTTCTTGATTTTCTTCCCAATTTTCTCTTAAAAATTATTTTGTTATAGCTGATTCGAACCTAGTTATTATGTAGCAATCCGACTCTTTGTCCGTTGCCAAGAGCCAGTGTAATGAAATATGTAGATGTGTAGCCCTTTGCACATTGCCGGAGGCTAAATGAGGTAATAAATCTGCCCCTTTGTTCATCACTGGGAGTTATGTAAATATAACCCATTGTTCATTGATGGAAGCCAAAAGATGTAGCAGTGAATATCGTTACGAAGAACATGACGATAAAAAACACCCAACCATGTTGTAGAGATATATATAGCCATGTCTGACCATGTATATAGAAATAGATGCTAGAACGAGTTACACCTACAATATTTCCAACGAAATTGATGAACATCGCTCTTGGTGATGTTGACTCCATTGCAGTAATCAATAAAAAATAGAAATTATATATTTGATGTGGAAAATAGATCATGTGGGTCCTTGCTGATGTGGAGCCGCACACGTCATCAATTTCAAAGCCATACAAATTCATCCTTCAAGAAAAATTTAAAAATTCAATCAGTTTCTAAATCTAAATATTAATATTTAATAAAATAAATTTTTAAAATTTAAACTAAATTTTAATATAAAACAATGTAATTTAGAATTAAGATTTCAATTTTTTTAAGAATCGAGACTGATATACATTTTTCTATATATATGTATAATGAATAGAACTTGAACGAATTTTGCCCAAATAAAAATATGACCAAAAATTTAGAGGTTGGAAAACAAAAAAAAAACAAAAATTGAATTTAGCCTTTTTCTACATGTCAACTTATATGTGCACATGGAATGGTGCTACGTCAGTATATGTATCAATGTGAATTAGTGAAAACCCAAAAAAGAAACAAAGTTAGTCCACCATAAGATATATTGTTTGGCTCGTTTGTGAATAGGGTTTATTTGCATAGGTACTAGAATTAGAGGGTTTAGCTGCTTTATTTTTAATTTAGAGGCTTAAATGTTATTTTGGGATAATTTTAAGGACTTAAGAAGGGTTTTTTTACTCTCTACCCTTATAATTTAAACATGAAACGACAATTTTACCCTCATGTTTATCCAATTTCAAACATATTTTGAAGAAAAAAAAAATTACCTCTGTTTTTGGGTAAATAAATCATAATTTCACTTGGTAGTTGGTATGGTACCATGGCTGGTTTTGGACAGATAAGTGACATACTTTATGGCATTAAAACCCCTTCCCCCAACACATAAAGATACAAAATCCTCAACTTAATCTGTTTCTAGGTTTCTTCTAGTTTGGATAATTATTCTCTGCAAGACAGAATGTATGGTGCTGCAATGTTGTAGCAACAGATCCACGGTGTTCAGCTTTTATTCACTTCAAAAAAATCTATACTATATGTTGCATGCAATTTTATTTTACATTCTTTCCTTGTCCATCTAATAATTATGCTGGTAAGCCTAGATGTTTTCCTTTTTAAGCAGAAGTGTATTAATGGGCCCTCTGCACTGGAGATAAACATTGAAAAGGCTCTTTTGTAACATATACCATGTTTGAAAAAGTCAATGCCCTTTCTTTATTGCTTGTCTAGCATCTTCTATGCTATCAAGGTTGATTGAAGCAATTGGGGACAATAGTTTCCATGGTACAGGAAGATGCAGCCTGGATTCTTTCAAAAAAAAAAAGAAAAAAAAACAACCAATTTCTTCTGCTGAGTGCCGAATTTTGTGTTGGTGCATTCATGTGTTTCAGTACAAAAAATTTGTAGTACCCTGGTTGAGAAATATACAAAACAAGGTGGTATTCCATTTCAACATATCAATACAGAAAAGTAAAGCATGAAATAGACAAACAGATTTATTTTTTGAAAAAAAAAGACAAGGAAACTCGATTGAATCTAATTTGAGGAAGAACCATGGAACTCATCTAGATGAAATGAAACTTCTGAATGAGGTTCTCTTTCATTTTCCATCCCCAAATCAGTATTTAGTTTTGCAAGTTCTAATACAATTCCCGGTTGAGGTTCCCTTCCATTTTCCATCCCCAAATCGGAACTTACAAGTTCCAACAAAGAAATAGTTGAAATAGGCTTCAAAAGCTGTTTTTGGCAGGCAACAAATTGTCGAGACACATATTTCATTGTTGGTCTGGACTTGGGTTTTGCACGCAAGCAAGCCAATGCAAGCATAACAGCAAGAACAATACTTTGGATAACATTTCTGCTTCTTGGAGGCGATAGACGTGTGTCCAATACATCACTTAGCATCACATTTTGCAAAGAATATGGTTTTGATAACAATGTCAACAGTTCTCTAGGATGCCTTCCCATTAGTACTTCCAATGCTACAACCCCAAAGCTATAAACATCACATTTCTCAGTCACAACAATTGTATAGGCAAGCTCTGCATAGATAAATCACACATTTCACAAGTCAATTTAATAGTAAATAGTGAAATAAGACAACAAAAGAAGAATGTTGTTATGTTGATTGAAAAAACCTGGGGCAATATAACCATAGGTGCCAGCAAGTGTGGTATGATTAGATGAATCAGGATCCAAAAGCCTAGCATTTCCAAAGTCAGAAACAAAAGCCTCTGACTCCGAGTTTAATAGAATGTTGTTGCTTGATATGTCCCAATGAAGGATGGGTGGGATACAGTCATGGTGAAGGTAACACAAAGCATGTGCTGTGTGTTTTATGACATTCACCCTTTTCATCCAGTCCAATTCCACAGCTTCAGCATCATCTCTAAGAACACAAAACAAGCTTCCTCTTTCCATGTATTCATAGATCAAAAACATGCACTGTCTATGCAGACAGAACCCGTGAAGCTTGACAATATTCTTATGTCTTATTTCTGTCAACATCTTAGCTTCATTCCTAAAACTCCTGTTAAAAGTGGGTACCTCTGATTCCCTCCGATGAAGTTTTTTTAAGGCAACTACTTTGCCATTTGGCAATTGTGCCTTGTAAACACTACCATAGCCACCAGTACCAATGCAATATCGAATGTCAAAATCTTCAGTTGCCGCAATAATGTCTTCAAATGCAACCCTCCCATCAAAGTTCCATATTGAGAACATATCCCCATTTTTTGTTGGACTTAGAATTGCTTCCCTACTTTTTGCTCCATTTATTCTTCGAGAAAGTAACAACAATGCCAGAGATACCAAAACAAGAGAAATGGTGATAAGAAGAATAATTTTAATATGTCTTAACACTTTGTTGGAATTTTTTCTATGTTGAGTGAAGGGAGAAGGCGAAGTAGTGGGGCTGCTAAAAGGATAACCATATAAACCTAGGTTGCCTATAAAAGAGTTAAGTGGAAAACCGGCCAAAGTTTCTGGGATTGGGCCTGTGAGATTATTGAAATTGAGATTCAAGCCATCTAGTTGCAAGTGTCCTAAATACCCAAGTTGTGAAGGTATTGACCCTTTCAAATGATTTGAATTGAGATTCAAGTTGGTCAAATTGGTTAAATGGCCTAGAGTGGAAGGAATAGGACCAGTGAAATTGTTAGCACTAAGATCTAAAATATATAAATTCTTCATATTTCCTATTTCAGATGGGAGGTCTCCACCCAAGGAATTGTGGCTCAAATGCAGTTCTTTTAAAAGGGAGCAATTCTCAAGCTGTGTTGGGAGGTGTCCACACAATTTATTTCGAGAAAGGTCCAAATACTGCAAAGATTTCAAATGCCCAATCTCTTTGGGTATTGAACCTTCTAAAAGATTTGAATCAAGACACAATGTTTGCAGATTGGGTAAATG